GATCTGTGACAAGTGTATGCATATACAACATTCCTACAGAGAAAGAGAGATTTCAGGCATTGTTCTTTAATTAAAGCAAAAGGACATTTAAGAGTGAGAAAAAAAAAAGTTCAACAGAAGTTAAGATATTGGACATGACTTTTTGTAAGAGTAGGGTGTCCATATTTTAGTTTTCCAAAAAAAGGACAGTGGGTGTGGATGGGGCTGGGGGCTGAGGTGTGGTTAGCTGGTGGTTAAAGTAATGCCGAAAGCGCCCAAGTAACGTAATCCCAAATATCAAAACTCAAAATATGTCATTTCCATACCTAAAATACATATTTTACAGTCACTGTTATGCAGATTGATCATAAATCTAGCTAAAAGGCTTCCTACCAGTGGCCCTCCTTCACAAAACTTAACATCTAGCACAGTTTTATCATAGGTAGAATCAGGGCCGTAGCTGGGGTTTGTGAGGCCCCGGTGCAGGTTGTACCCATGGGCCCTGTTTGAAATCGTGTAAATAGCACAAATAAATAAATAGTGGGGGGCTGGGGTGTGGTTGGTTGATGGTTTAAGTAATGCCCAAAGTAGCGCAATCTCAAATATCAAAACTCAAAATGTCATTTAAATACCTAATATACATATTTTACAGTCACTGTTAAGCATATTTATCATAAACATAGCTAAAAAGATTCCTACCAGTGGCCGCCCTTCACAAAACTTAACATCTAGCACAGTTTTATAGAATGTAGAATGCAAAATGTTTCAATACAAGCATTTCAGTCAAATGTAATTTATGCAACATTTCAAACCCACGGGGGAAAATCAACTAGGCCTGGATGATAAAAAGGTATTGATATTTATCGACGGTACACCTTCTTCGATAATGATATAAAAAATGTTCAATATAGTGCACAATATAGGCACGTGCTATGAGTGACGCAGACAGCACACACAAACACATGCTGAATTGAGCGCTGTGCCTGCCTGTTATGAGGAGATTGTGAATAAAAAAATGATATAAGTCGAATTTAAAATAAACATTTGCATTTGAATGCAAAAATAGTACAATCAAATGTTAGGTGTGTGTCAGGGAGCGTCATCAGTGGAGCACGAGATGCGGTGATGATGCTGTATGTGACGTTGATGCATTTTAATGTTTTGTTAGTCTAGCCCACGAGACGTGCAGTTGCTGCATTATTCATTCAAAATATTAGAGAACTATAGTAGCTCAATGTGTAGAAGATCTTGATTAGGTTAAAACCGAAACCAAGTCATTCACACAGAACGCATATTCAGAACATTGTTAGATGGACAAATATGACTGCTGCACTCGCGTCTCATGCAAGAGATGCAAAGAAAGTCATGCAAAGTTAAAACA